GGAGGAAGCGGCGGCCTGCTGAGGGGAGCGAGCCCGGTGCCTTGTTAAAGGCCTTGGGTGGGGGAAGGTGAGGGGTCCCCCCTTTTGCGGGCCCTCGCAGGATGAATACTGATATTAAAATAACTAACCGTGAGGAGCTGTCAGTCTGCGCCAAGAGCACTGGGCTGTATTCCCTATCAACATCCCACTCTGCCTAGTCTCAAGCTGCTCAGGGGCACGGTGGGGAGAATTGGGTTTGAGGGTGTGTATTTTAGCTCTCAGGGTCCAGGAGGAACCTGTCTCCTTCCTTCCAGTTTGCAAGGCGAATATTGGCCCTGCCTGCAAATCTTCAGGAGACAGCAGAAGAGCTTAATCTGGAAGTCTAGAGGCAAAGACCTTTAATGCTGTAAATTACCCAGAGTTTGTTACAACAGTAGTCGTGGAGCCTTTCTCAGCATCTGCTATTAGGCCAGACTTTTACTGATGGACGGTGCTAGACAGCACCAGTGTCTGAAGGCCAAATGCATATATAGCCAGGTAAATAAGGAAACGAAGGCCTTAAACACAAATCCTGTAAGTGGCATACTATGAAGTCATTTAATATCCTTTTAGGTGCTGTCCTTTCCCTGAATCAAGTTACCAACACATAAATTATTGTGAATAAATCTGATTATTTTGCTTTGCTGGCTATGTGTATCTGTGGGCTTTGCATGATACTTTACCTCAGCAACCTTTTCAAGCTGATCGTAGTAATGCTTTTCCTGTGAGCAATGATTAGGAGTAGATTGGGAGCGCGTTATAAAGAAATACTGTTTTCTATTACTAACCCCCAGAGAAGTCCCATATCTTTCTACCGCGGTTCATCTAATCTAGGTCTATCAAAACTGATTCAAAGGTGCTGCTGTGTAATGGCTGACTGTATCAGGTATTAATCAGAGCTGAATTTCTCCTGTGTGGATGGAATCCCTTAAAACCACTCCCAGTGTTTAGATAGATCAGTGTCTGCATACCCAGTATGCAATTCCAGTCCAAACTGGAATTGGAATTGCGTTCCATGAGAGGGAACCTATTCAGGAGAGTTGTTTACTGAAAGTTTTAGATCGTCAAGACTCGGTCACCTGTTCTGTCTGCCCAGAACCTAGCTGCTGTATTAATTGGAGTGTAACTTTTCATTGTCCTTCATTTGCTCGTTTTGTTCGCGTTTACAGTTTTCAGAATGACTTCCGTGGTTGATGTGCCCCTGGATTATGAAAAGATGTTTGCTCATCGATTCACATCAGAGGATGAAGAATACCAAGAATATCTGAAACGCCCTACAGATCCTCCTCCTATAGTTGAAGAATGGAGAAACAGATCTGGTGGCAACCAGAGAAACAGAGACCGGTACTGATTTTGTTCAGTTTTTATCTTGGTTGTTTTACAAATATATGGTTAAATAATCATTTCTTTCAGAAGAAAATAGGAATTGGTTCTGTTAATAGAAGTATCTTCATGTTACTTCACAGGTAACTGTGTTTAACAGAAATAGTCTTCTCTGAAAAATAGTGAGATTTTTCATCTTCTCTGTATTGATCGTCAGAGTTTTTGCATTGTGTGTAAAAGTATTAAGTAATTGGCTTTTTAGTAGGGAATGAGCTGGAACTACCAAACGCATTGCCCTGGGGTTTGTTACTGCTCAGCCAGGAACATTTTTCCAGAGGGGAAGATAGGGAGAGTTCTGCAAAAATAAGCAGCCTATCTTCTGTTGGATAATAACTGGCAGGAAAATGTGGGAAGGAGCAGGCTAATAGTGTGATTATCTATTGCTAGCTGTCCAGAAAAACGGTAGAATGTTTGCTGTACTCTGTTAGATTAGCCTGTATTTCTTTTATCTAGTACAAATGACTGTAAAATGCATCACCCAGTCTGTCTAGCAAACACAGTGTTACCTGCCTGCTGCAAAATATTTTGAATTATTTCTTCAGAATGTAATTGCAGCTTTTTACTGAATTCTGGACAGTAACATCGGAGTTTTGTGTGACTGAAAAACAGCGATTACAGTGTACAGCATGTTTGGTTATACTAACATCAGCCTTTAATAGAAAGTAGTTAAACTCTGGTCCAGCTAACAGCTGGAAGGACTTCTTGGCTAGACACCTAAATAGGATTTGTGCCTATCTGAAGAAAAGGAGGACAACATTCTGTCTTTTTCTCACCCTAGAAGCTTGTCATTAAGTCAAACACAGAATCAGTTTCTACAGATTTAAAAAAAACAAAAACGGTGGTTGTTTATACACATGTTCTTACAAAACTTGGTGGTTCTTTGAACTAAGGAACTGTTACGTCTACACTCTAGTCTCAAAGTGAACCTCTTCTAAATGTTGTTTGTCTGTGCCACACCAGTGAGATATCCAAAGGAAATGGATGTGAAGGCAGCTCGGGTGTTGACAGGAATTGAGATACAGCTGAAAACCCAAAATTTAGACTGAACAATGGCTAAATACCCCTGATAAAATACACTCTCAAGTACAGGAATGTACAAGAGACCATGAAGCAGCAGCAGTGGGTATCCTTAGGGTTATTAGGCAAATTGCAGGACTGTCAGGTAGCTAAATTGTACTTAAGCTTGCTTTGCCACAGCTTTCAAGATTGCACCTGGCTTCAGTACAGCTATGGATGCGTCTTCTGGTTGCTTGGTAGATACATGGTGTGTTTTGAGTCTCTCTTCCAAGTTCCAGCAGTTGCCCTGATGCCTGTGGATTCTTTGTGTTAGGGAACAGGCTGTCCTTCCATTGCTTAGCAAACAGCGTGTTGGGTAGCAGGAAGAAATTAATGAACGATTTCAGAGGACTGTAGCTATGTTTTCATCGGTGTGTCATAAAAATGGGTAAGTAATCGAGTGTATAAAGTTACCTGACAGTTTTAATGAAAACTGTAAAATTTAAGAGTTGGTTATCACTCATCTTTTTGAAAACTCACGATTTGTGTCAATCTTTGACATTTCTTTTCCTTGCAGGTTTCAAGATGGCAGATACTTTAGAGGGGACAGATACAACTGGCAAGGTGACTATAGATCTAATCAGAGACCAGAGAGAAGTTGGGGTAATAACTACCAGCAGCACAGACAAGGACAATCGTACTCCTCCCACTACGGACAATATGGCTACAACTCCTACAACCCAGGGCCTCGTTACCATCCCTACTAATGATGTACTAACGAGTGAGTTGAAAGTCCAGCAATGCTGTGTAAGAAGTTCAGTTAGATTTCAGTTTTCTTACTTTTCAACAGTTCAGTAGGTAACAAGAATCAGTGTTAGTCCATTGCTGTTTATCTGTAGTGTGAGTTGGAAAGGGGGACACCTCTTATGAATAATAAAAGCGTATTATACTGAGTCTGTTAGAGCCTGTAGATCTTAGAGTAAATTTTTAGCTCATATTCTTTTGTCTGAAGACATACTAGCACACTTCTTTTTTTCCATCACCGTGAGTTCTGTTACGTTTTAGAAAACACAACAGGTCCGGGGCAAACAGCTGTGGTTTGTGCACAGCCTGTAGCAGTGGCACGTTGCCTTAAGATGGTTCTTTCTGACAGTGACATACTGCGTCTGTCTCTGGAGAGAATTCCTTAGCTTGGCTTTTGATAGTGAGAAAAGTTTGGTTTGGTCTGAATTTCAGCTGCCTTAAAATTTGAAAAGAGGGATGCTATTACAGGAATATTTTCTGGGCTCTGCCTAGTGTCTGCTGACTCAATGGCTTCTGTTTATTTGCAGTATTCCTCTTAAAATGTGGTCTAAAAGTTGGAATAAAAAGTAAGTAGTTTAAGTATGTATGTTCTTATCGTCGTAGTTCAGTGATGTGCAAGTTTCACCCGAGAAGGGATATCAGACTTTCATTTGTATAATCTTAAAATTAATTTGGCACATGCATAATGAATTTTGGAATTCCCATTTCATAAAGCTGTAAAACTTTGATGGTAATTGTAACTAAGTTTGTGTGAAATACTTTGTGCATGTTATAGAAAAAAGGAAGCAGAATCAGTACTGTTCTGTACTCTTCTTTTGCATGAGAAATTAGCATACGTGCAGAGTGTTACGCAGTTCTTGGAATTCAAATTCTGTGCTTTTTGAAGTATTCAGACAATAAAAGTGTAGCTCACGCGTAAGGATGTGTCTGAGTATTTCTGAAACACTCACCTAGGCCGACAGCTGCACCGCAGATGGCTGTTAGTACTGGGCAGCTGTTGGCTGAAGTCAGGAGAGTGGCCTACGTGGCTGCAATCAAGAGGATGAGATTAATTAGAAGTCTGGAGCCTTAATCAACTATCTTACATTCTACTAGAATAGGGTCAAAGTTCTCTCTCTCAGCATTTAGGGGATAAGCTCATTTGCAGCAGGAGAGCGGCGCATTTCTTTGTACGTGACATTTTCTTCAGCAGAAACACAGACCCATCCACGCTGGTGTGAAAGTCATGACATGATGTGATAAGGAAGTGCCAATTCGTGCATCTGGATTTAAAAGCAGAGTAAAGAGAGAGGTCAAAGGCTCAGAGTCCCAACTCGCAAGATGCTTTTGAGAGCTAAAGAGTGTGTTTCCTGTTGGTCTCTGAAATAGACACTGTATGTGGCTTTCCTACAAGAGTCCTGACACAAGAACCTCTGCCTACCTGCTGAGTATTTCTTAGCTGGCTTTTGGTATTGCTAACTCTGATAGAGTTTCCATATCCTATGCCTTGAGGTATTTGAGTTCAGTTGTTTGACCTTAGAAATCGTTCAGCGAGTGGCTTGTTTCTCCCGAGGGAGTTCTGCTGGATGAAATGGCATAGAACCCTTCCCAACCTGCAGGAATGTGGTGGAGCTGTTACCCCGGGGGATGTAAGATCGTGCGCAGTTCCTCTCTGCGCGCTGTGGACAGCCTGCGATGGTGGAATTCCCTTTTCCTGCACGAGCCCATACGACACGCTCGATATCCCCGACTCCCACCTCCAGGAAGGGAGTGCAGCTCTTGCTGCAGAGAGCCTGCCGCTGCCAGCTCTGCCACGGCAGCCAGGCTGTGCCAGGATGTGCTTCTTCCTCCCCGTCTGGAGTAGCAGCTCAGGTTGAAAGCAGCCTGGCAAAAGGAACGGATTCTGCCTCATCTGCTGCCTTTCCTCAAGCTGTTTTATTTTTGGTGTCTTTCAGCTAGTGACTGAAGAGCCCACAACACCGTGACCCAGCTGTAGCAGCAGATAAGGTTAGGATGGCCTCAGTGGAAGTGACGACATGATCTCGGCTCGCCCATTCCAAGTTTCTTGACTGTGAGATCAGGAGAGAGACAGGCCAGTGTAGCTTCCTGTTTTCTTTCTCTACATTCTTTACTCCACCTGGCAAGAATCTAATTTTTTTTTGGGGAGGGTGGTGATGGTGATGTTTCTAAATAAATGCATGCCTTGCACTGGACAGAAAGGTAAACAGAATTCAAAATGCATCATCTCCGGCAGTTTCCACTTAGATGAATTAGTACTTAGGATCAAGCCCAGCTTACTGTTTCTGTCAAGCTGAATAAACCAGGAAGTACTGCCTGCCTGCCACTGCAGTTTGTGCATCACAGATGACAAAGCTGAAACTGGGGAACTTCAGCACGTGCGACTTCAAACGCTACACAAGTTGTTTGCTTTAACTGTGCGGGAGATCGCAAGGTAAACATTAAAATGCAGCGTTTGAGGCCTGACTTCAAGTGATCTTGTCCATCTCGCGTTTGCTCAGACATTGTTATTATCAGGAATAAACCAAAAGAAAGGTAACTGTTGTGTGTTAAACAAATGACTGCCGCGTTGCCAAGAGTCTGAGCACCCCAGAAGTTCTGAGTACAGCTCCTGCAGCAGTTCCAAATCACCTATAGCAATTTTGTACCAACTCTTCCTTGGCACTGAAGAATTATCACCCTGAATTACAGGTGCTGTGGCAAACAGCTAAGAAAACTCTGTAGCTTTTGTATAATTTCTTAACTACCATTTAAGAAAATGCTTTCAAATCACAGCTCAGATAGTTGAAGGCAAAGAGAGTGCGTAGTGAAATTAAAAAAAAACTGATTTGGGAGATACAGTTTGACAAGACCTACCTGCCATTCAACTTCCCTTTTATCCTGGCGCTGTAGCTGGGAACAGGAACGTGCAGCCGGGCCATGAGAGGTTGGCTAGAAGCTCGGCTGCTTTCAAGAGGCTCCTCAGTCAGGGAAGACAAGGGCCATTTCTCATATACCTATAATCAACATTCAGCCTCTACAACAAGGAAGATACTCACTCTGCTGTTTAAATATATTGAATATTTAAACAATTCTACTATTAATTAGCTAATAAACATTCTGCTTAATCAAGAAACATATTCACATTTGCTACTTCTACTGAGATCTTGGAAGGAAAATTATTCTTGTATCAAATTTAAGGCTTTGCCTGCCACCACTCCTGTTCCTTAGGGGAAAACCCAAATAAATCCCTGAATTACACAACTCTGGGTGAATTCTGTTGGCTGATCCAACCTGCGCAGTCACATCTCTCTCTCTCTCTGACAAAGAAGAGGGGGCAGGGGCGTGGAGCAAGAGGGAAGGGAAAACAGGACCGCTCCTCACAGCAGCTACCGCCCGCCTTAGAAGCGACTTAACAAAACTCCTCCCTTGCCTTCCATTTGCCAGTCAGGAAAAATGTCTACAACCTGTCCCCTTATCCCCGTAGCTGAGAAGAGAGCTCCATAACCCTGCCCAAGTTATGCACAGCCCCGACACTCTAATGACCAGAAGCTCAGCAAGGTTATAGGGCAGATGGGGTTGCCCTGGAAGGACCAAGGAAACACGCAGCCTGATTCGAGAGACACTGAGGTAAATCCCATGAATCAAACCAGAGTCCAGCAGCTTCCCGCACCGCCAGAAGTAGGTGGCAACCACACCATGGTGGTGCACAATGACTGTGCCTCTCAAGCGGATCATTTTTTCCTTAGGCCTTGCAGGCTGGAAGTTGTTTTTGTGTTTACCATGGTCTCTGTGGTTTCTTCAGTAAAGCACGGACTGCACTTAGTGGGTGTCAGTCCTCATCTGCTCACGCAAAACAGTGATGCCAGAGTGTTATTTCCCAACTCCGAGTACTCTGTCCTGTTAAAATGCACACCTATTACTACCAACTTTCACCATCTCATGTAACTGGGCTTTACTCCAACAGGTCTATATTGGTATAGTATAGCTATAGTATACCAATAGTATATTGGTATTGTCACCCACAATGGTTACTTTAGTGCTGTTTGAGACAAGCAGGGATACCAGTGGATGTTGTCTTTGCCCTAACACAGAGATGCTTTTGTTCCAAATACTTCAGCAGCTGGATGACTTTTTTCCACAAGTATGGGCTACCTTTTTTTTTTTTTTTAATGTATCATGTAATTCAGACTTTGCTTTAGTAATAAAAGAGGTAACAGTAACAAGTATCGAAGCCACTCCTGCTCACTGAAGGAAAAAATCTATTCAAAGGATGAGTTGAAGAAAACACCTTTGTTAATTGTTATAGAAATACAAAAAATAACCGAGGCCCAACCTTATCCATGAAAAAGTAATCTCCAAGGATTCAAGCAGAATCTTCAAACTGAACTATGTTACATGTTAAAAGAATGATTAAGACACTAGGCTTTTTCAAAGCTCTTGTTCAGTGTGAGGAAAGACAATTTGGCATTTATACACCCACATGAATTAGCTACTTAAGATTATAGTTAGTACCGTTGAGATAAAGGTTAAAAAAGCAAGCATAGCTTTTGGCCACCGGGTTCCAGGCATGATCAGAGCTGATCAGAAAGCAGATGCTCTTTGTCGATAGTCATAGCTTGAGTTGCCTTCTGAAGGAATGCTTGAAATGATACATTCTCCACTGAAAATGTGCTCAGGAAAAATAAAGTAGCAGTAAATCACTGCCAAGTGCAACCAGCCCCAAATGACTGGATATTCCTCAGTGGGTTTAACAGTATGAGCACCTAAACATGGCACACAAAACCTCTGGAGCTCAGACCAGTTTAGTACCAGGGCTCTGTGTGGGCATGTACTCTACTCAGGTCAAGCTCACGTTGCTCATTTATAGGCCACACGCTCGAAACAGCCGCTGTGAAGTGAGCTGACGGAGCCTCAAGCTTGGGGTACGCACCCTGCTCTAAGCCCCAGTTACAGCTAAACTGCTGCAAGAACGTAAAGGAACTTTACCTTGAATTGCCAACAAGGGCAAATTTCTGCCACCCAGCGGAT